ATGGAAAAGACAATAGAAACTACTAATTACTGTAATGGGTTATATAGGAAGTTATATTGGGGTTGGTGTTTGATTTTGGGTAGTGTTAGGGTTATAATGGAGTGGAAATGGAAAATGGAAAACGAGATGGAAACTGGGATTATAGAGGTTATACGGTTTAACTTTATGTACCCATAGGGGGAATAGTAGGGCTATATGAAAGTTATATAGGGATAATGGACTATGGGAACTACTATTTAGGGTTTGGGGATTTTTGGGTTTAGGCTCGAGGGTGTTGGGGTTCAGGGGTTCAGAGGTGTAGGTTTTAGGTGTTAGGGTTTAGGATTGAGGGTTTAGGGCTTAGGCCCCTCCCCCTAATAAGGGTAAAATGGGGATATGTAGAGGATACATAGGGGCTAGGGAGTATAGGGGCATGGGAAAGAGCATGAAATCAGCAGTTTGGGGTTTAGAGTTTAACGGAAAACTTGAAGATGAAATGGAAACCAGGGTTTTATGAGGTTTGTTTGTCCACCCCCTACTAATAAAAAACCCCGCACCATCCCCTGATACATCCCGATATCTTACCCCGTACCCCACGGGGAATATTCAAGATTAGGGAGGTGGGGGGGGGTTCATAATATAGGGGTGACGCCCTTAACCCTAAACCCCATACACCCTAAACCCCCCTACTCCCCTAAAGCCCCTTAAACCCTAAACTCCTAGGAGTGAGGGCTTAAGAAGCTGGTGAAGTGGAGGGGGAAAAAAGATCTGCGCCTGTCTCAGGCAGCTTTGGCAGACGAGCTGAAGATGGTGTCTTGGCTGCCTTTTGTTTTAGTGTGCTAACTACAGGGTTCAGGGTGTAGGGTTTAGGGTTTACTGTTGCAAAAGGGTTTAGGGAAACCCTAAACCCTCAACCCCCAAACCCTAAATAGTAGTTTCCATGTTATTTTCCATTATCCTTATATAACCCCAATATAGGCCTAACATTACCCCAATGGGTACCTACAAGTATGTTATGGAGGCTAAAGGATCATAGAAGGATGATAACCCCCCTTTGAGTAGATAGATTATGGCTCTGGGTATATTCTAATGAGATCCCCATTTGCCCCATATTCTATCTACTTAAGGGGGCTATAATTTTAGGGAGTCCTGCAGTCGGCCAAGGTGTCTGGACGATTCGAGGAGCAGCTGCAGCACAGCATGAAGCTGAAGAAGGAGGTATCAAGGAGTTGCGCGCTGGGGGCTGCTTGCGCGCTCTGAACTCTACATCCTAAACCCTAAACCCTAAATCCTGAACCCTAGCCCCTAAACCCTAAATCCTGAACCCTAAACCCTAAACCCTAAATCCTACTCCATGTTTGGTTGAAAAAGTTTGCAGGATGAGTGAGGAGCTTGAAGCTCGAAGCAAAGACGAGCTACTGGGACTGCTCAATGGCATTTAGGGGTTGGGGTCTTAAGGTTTTAGGGTTTTAGGGTTTAGTGTTTAGTGTTTAGGGTTTTGGGGTTTCAGGGTTTAGATGGGTTTAGTGTCTAGGGTTTAGGGTTTGAGGGTTTTAGGGTTTAGGGTTTTAGGGGCTTAGGTTTTATGTATCCATTCGGGCAATATCAGGGCTATATTTTGGGCTAGATACGGAGGAAACTGCTATTTAGGGTTTTAGGGCTGAGAATTTAGGGTTTTAGGGTTTTAGGTTTTAGAGTTTTAGGGTTTTGGGTGTTGGTGTCTAGGGTTTGATGCCAGGTCCGCGACTCTAAAGGATGATCCTGAACCCTAAGCCGTAAACCCTAAACCCTAAACCCCGCTTTCATGGAACCCCGGAACCTACCGTGCCTGCTGAGTCCGATGCGCGCGCCTAAACCCTAAGTAGTAGTTTCCATTTGCTTTTCCATTATCCCAATCGAACCCCAACATGACCCTTATATTCCCCCAATGGGTACCCAATATCCCTATATAACCCCTTTTAACCCCTATAACCCCTTGCTGAGGATGAAGCATCGGGACATGGAGCGCGAGTGGAAGCAACGCCTGGAGGAGCTCAGGAGTGGCTTGGCGACTGCACGCGACACCATCCAAGCACAAAAGATCCAGATGGCAAAGCTGATCCCTGGCTTCACAATAAATGAATATAACAGTATGATAGACTAGTATGGTATAAGTATAAGAATATGAGATAGAGATGAAATAGAATGTAATACAATAACAGCATACTATGATACTGACCCCTGGCTTTACATGTGACATTGATGCTGTTACGCGCTTGGCTCAGCCTGAGATCCACCCAAGGACATCCGAGGCAGAGAAGCCCAGCGCACTCGCTGAGTTGCAAGAAGCAAATGTCCTCTTGAAGGCACAGCTCACAATGGTCATAATGGCAATAGCAAAAATAACAATAGTATTCATAGCTTTAGAGGTAGATGAGAATAGTAATAATAACAACAGCAATACCACTGGTACTGGCTCCGCGCTCGTAGTAGAAATAATAGTCCTCTTGAAGGCACAGCTCGTAGAAGCCAACGCGAAGCTGGAGGAACCCAGTGCTCAAGCCACATGTGCGCCTCATCAAGCACACATTAGCTTTCCATCCTTTGATCTCTTTTGAAAGGGTGGCTTCTGACTTGTGCAGGATCAATACCGGCTGACCGCGCATCTACAGCAGCCAGCGTATTCCTGGGAACAACTTTCAATTATTACCGACCATGATCATTATGTATACCTCATACAGCCATAGACAATGTTGGGCCCTAAATTTCTGATCCATGCTAGGCAGAAGCCTAAACCCTAAGCCTGAAACCCTTAAACTTTAAACTTTTAAACCCTAAAATCCCTAAACCCTAAACCCTAAACCCTAAAACCCTAAAACACTAAACCCCAAAATCCCTGAAATCCCTAAAGCCCTAAACCCTTAAATTCCCGAATCCATCCCAGGTCGAAGCTGGCAAACTTGGAGGATGAGCTGGCGGCAGTGCACAGGCTGAGCCAGAGTCAACCCGACCTCAGCATAGAGGACAGTCCACTGGGAAGTAGTATTAAGGGTTTAGGCTTTAGGGTTTAGGCTTTAGGGTTTAGGCTTTAGGCTTTAGGGTTTAGGCTTTAGGGTATAGGCTTTGGGGTTTAGGGTCTAGGTTTTAGGGTTTAGGGTTGAGGGTTACCGGGCGTATATTAGGGTTATATAGGGATACTGGAAAGGAAAATGGAAACTACTATATTGCGATAGGGTATAAAGGGCAATCCCCCAGGAAATAGTATTCAGGGTTTAGGGTTATTTAGGGTTATTTAGGGCTATTTAGGGTTATTTAGGGTTATTTGAGGTTTAGGGTTTAGGGTCCAGGCTTCAGGGTTATTCAGGCCTTAGAGTTTATGTTTTAGGGTTATTTAGGGTTTAGGGCTAGAGTTTAGGGTTCAGGATTGTTTTTGGTTCAGGTTTTGGGGTTGAGGGTTTAGGGTTTAGGGTCGATGGTTATTTAGGGTTTAGGGTTTTGGGTTATTTAGGGTTTAGGGTTCAGGGTTATGAAGGGTTTAGAGTTATTTAGGGTTGAGATTTCCTAAATATGTCCCAGGACAGTGACAGAAGGGATGCTGAGAACGCAGAGCTGGCAGAACTTGGAGAGCAGCTACAGAGCGAGTTGAGGGAAAGAGATGCAGCCATGTCAGCGACTGCGCGGCAGATGGAGATGTGTGAAGCCTTGAACAGAGAGCTGGACCAGGCAGTTGCCGACCTGCAGGTGGATTTGGCTGCATCCAAGAATAGAGAGGAGGCGCATCAAGCAACTCTTTCATCTCTGAATCGAGAGCTTCAAACCAGAGAAGGTGCTGTGCAGGAATGGAAAGCCCAAGCGCAACAGTGGCAAATCCGGGCTTCGCAGCTTGAAGCAGAGCTGGATGCCCAGGTAAGGACCCTGCAGGACAGCGTGCGCCAAGTCACCGACTCGGCAGGGGAGATCCAGAAACTGGGTTGCTGTTAAGGAACTTAAATTAAGTTACCATAATGGGTATATATATATATATAGTAGTTTATAGGGTTTCCCCAATATAGTAACCCTAAACCCTATAGGGTTTCCCCAATATAGTAACTTTTTTTAAAAGTTCCTTAACAGCAACCCAGGAAACTTGAGGGGGAGCTGCGCAGCTCAAAGGAGATGGCTGAGAGCAGAGAAGGTACTTAGCATGTCCTAAAGGGGGGGTTGGTCCAAGGGGGGTTAGGGTTTAGGGTTTAGGGGTAGTAGTCCTCAATAATACCCCAATACTCCCTTAGCTTCCTTAAGGTTCCCATGAGGTACTATCTCAAGCTTGCAGCAACATGTCTCAAAGCTGGAAAGCGAAGTGGAAACATGGCGGAACGAAAGGGAAGCTCAAGACGTACTTGCTGCTGAGCTGCAAAGCAAAGCTGCCTCCTTGGAAAGGGAGCTTAGTGCCGAGCAAGAGGAAGGTCGAACCATGGGAGAGGAGCTGTGTCGAATCCGAGAAGAGTCCAGGAAAGAACAACTGACCCTGCAAGAAGCCATTGAGCATCATACTGGGCTTGAAGCAGATGCATACGCAGAAGCTGCAAGTCTGAAGGTAGCTTTGGAAGCAGCAGCTGAGAAGAGCATGCTCCTTGAAAGTACAACTCAGCTCAGGCAGCAGGAAGTTGCTGGGTTGCGGTTAAGCAACCAAATTGAGTTTCCATTATGTGGGCATATGCTGTATCACAGGGCTTCCTTGTCAAATATAGTGACCCCTCACCCGTAAACCCGAAATACACTTGGGATAGTCAGTTAATCTATAGTCCCCCTTAAGTAAATAGAATATGGCTTCGGGTATATGAGAATAAGATCCCCATATACCCCATATTCTATCTACTTAATTGGGAGTATAACCCCAATATAACCCCAAAATCCCTGTATAACCCCAATATAATCCCTGTATAACCCCAATATAACCCCAATATAATCCCTATATAACCCCAATATAACCCCAATATAATCCCTATATAACCCCAATGTAATCCCTATATCAGGAATATAACTTCTTCTTACCCTAAACCCTAAATACACTTAGGATAGTCAGTTAACCTAAGTTCTTTCGCAGCAACTGAGGTTGATGCTTTGGAGGTGGAAGTCGTCTCAGCGAGGGAGAAAGCTGACGGCGACCAGCTGCACATCTCCAATCTGCAGCAGCAGTTACGCGGTTTAGGGTTTAGGGTTTAGGTGGCTTTTATATGGAACTTAAGGTACGATAATGAGGGTATATGGATTTTAGGGTTAATGGTTTGGGGGTACTATGAATAAGGAAGCCCGATTACTTACCATATACCCATGTCATGATAGCTTAACTTAAGTTCCTTCACAGCCACCTAGGTCAGAGACCCTGAAGGATAGCTTAAACACTAAAACTTAAGCCCTAAACACTAAACTTTTAGCCCTAAACCCTTAGCCCTAAACCCTCAGCGGCGCAACCTAGGTTAGAGGCCCTGGAGGATGAGGTTGTTAGCAGCAAGAAGCTGCAAGAAGCACAGCTGGGCACGCATGCAGACTTGCATCGTGCGATTGTACATACAGAGGACCAGCCTTACTAAACAAATGGAGAAATAGATAAGTAAGCAAATTAAGAAATACATATACATACTGTTGTTGGAGGAAATCTTGCACCACCTAGGGGCTGTAAAGTACTGTAATTCCTAGGGCTTTAGGGACTTAAGGTGGTGCAAGATTCCATCCATCAGCATATATATATATATGTTTGCATTATTCTAACGTAGCACTTTCCATTTTCCTTTGCATTGTCCCGAAATACCAAAGCCTCCTAGCCCCAAACCCCAAACCCTAAACCTCAAACCCTAAACCCTACACCCTAAACCCCTAAACCCCAAACCTGAACCCCTAAACCCTAAGCCCCAAACCCTAAACCCTACGCTCTAAACCCCTAAACCCTAAAACCCCAAACCCTAACCCCTAAACCCTAAACCCCTAGACCTTAAACCCCAAACCCTAAACCCCTAAACCCAGACTCGGAGGACCAGCTGGCCAGGGCTTTGCGCAGTGACGAGATGCAGCAGGAGCTGACGGCCAAGTTGCGGAGCTCCCTGAACTCTTCAGAGGTCAGCTTCCCAGGGAGCCCAATACCCCTAGGCTACCAGTGACTTGGGGCTCAGGGTTGAGGGTTGAGGGTTAGGCTTGAGGATTTAAGCCCAGGGAGCCCGATACCCCCTTGATTAAGGAATACTCCAGGAACCATATTAGGGATCCTAGTATGATTTAAGGTATATTCCTTAATGAGGGGGTATTGGGCTTTCTGAGTTGTCCTAATACTAGAAACACCAATAATCGCAATGCTAATAATGGAAATATTAACCACACAAGAATGATAGTTCATGCGAATAGTACCATGAATATATCGCATGCCATAGTTTCCATAAATAGGGGGAGCCCAATATAGACGCACAAGTGTTATGATGCTGATTATTGGGACCCAAAAAACCCTAAACCCTAAAAACCCCAGACCGTAACCCTAAACCCTTAAACCCTAAACCCTTAAACCCTAAGCCCGAAACCCTAAACCGCAAAGTACCCAGAATTTTGGAGACCCTACAGGTCAGCTTGTCCCAGTACCGTGCCAATTTGGAGGCCCAGGAGTCCATGGAGTCCCAGCTCAGGAAGCAGCTGGACACCATCCGAAGCGAGTCCAAAGAAGACAAGAGGATGGCCACTAACCTGAGATTGCAATTGGTAGAGTCGGAGGAGGAGCGAAATGCATCGGATACCGCCTTCCAGACCCAAAAAACCATCGAGGCGAACCTGCGTGGCCAGCTCGCGCTCGAAGCCGATCAGCTGCTGGGTTGCTGTTAAGGAACTTAAATTAAGTTACTATATTAGGGAAACCCTATTATTTACTACATATACCCATTATGGTAATTTAATTTAAGGTCCTTAACAGCAACCCAGGCTGTCCGAAGTGCGCTCTGCCCTTCAGGTTCAGCAGCGCCCTAGCTCTTCAAAGTGGCCTTTTGGTTTTGGACTTCTTCGTGCTGGGGGTCTGGTAGGGAATGTGGGACTATATTCTATGACAATTACATGGGGATCATATTCCCTTATTCCCTAACAGGGTCGGAAGTACCCGAGGTCGGTGACGCTCAGAGCCTAAACCCTAAACCCCAGGTCGGTGAACACTCAGTTGGAGCAGAGCCTGGCTGCCACGATTTCTGAGCTCTCTCAAGCCAGGGCAGACGCATCCGTGCGTGACTACGTTGCTGTTAAGGAACTTAAAGTAAGCTACCAGAAAATGGGTCTCTGGGGTTTAGGGTTTAGGGCTTAAGTTCCCAGAATATGGGCATAAAGTAAAAAGTAGGGTTTCCTTATTATGGTATAAGCCCTAAACCCTAAACCCGTTTAAGTTCCTTAACAGCAGCCCAGGTGACAGCGCCTCGCAGCAGCTGGAGGAGAAGCTGGTAACTTGGCCAAAATTCAACTCAAGCCATCCAGAGAATCTACAGAGTAGAGCTATGTATGGGGGGATATAATTAGGGTCTAGGGTTTAGGGTTTAGGGTTAAGGGTAGGTATGAGGGATGATATATTTTACAACGCAACATCACCATGATTGAGACCCAAACGGAAAAGAAAAAGACCATGGGAAATGAGTTGGAAATGAGGTGTATACAGGAAGTACATAAGGATATGGAAGGTGCACGCGTGCCTAAACGCCTAAGCCTAACCCTAGACCCTAAAACCCTAAACCCTAAAACCCTAAAACCCTAAGCTCTAAACCCTCTGAGTTGTCAAAGGATTTTTGCTTTTTCGTCTTGGCTTCATCTTAGGAAGTTGCCGAGGCCCGCCTGCGAGCGGAGGCAGACAGCCAGTCTGCCTTGCAAGGGCAGGTGGGGGTTTCCCAAAATTAGGGGTACCATTTTAAAGGGTCCCTATATAAGGATGATAATATTTTGGGGTCTATATTGGGGTCCCCCTATTTAGGGAAACTAGCAGGTGGGTAATTCGGAAAATCGTCCCTAGGCATTGGGTTTAGGGCTTAGGGACCCCCATAATCACTTGCGATCCCTACATATGCCTTGGGGTCCTGAAACCCTAAATCCGAAACGGCCTAAACCTTGAATCCTAAACCGTAAACCAAAAACCTTCAACCCTAAACCCGAAACCGTACACCCTAAACCCTAAACCTTAAACCCTAAACCTTAAGGCCTCAACCCTAAACCCTTGAGAAGCTCCCCAGGTAACAGTGTTAGAGGGTTCCCTTGCTACGGCCTTGTCGGCTTCGGAGCTCCAAGCTGCGGCGACCACGGAACTTCAGGAAAGTTGCGAGACTGTGGCTGTTTTGGAGTTAGGGTTCAATTGGGGTTTAGGGGTTTAGGGTTTAGGGGTTTAGGGTCTTAGGGTTTAGGGTTTAGGGGTTTAGGGTTTAGGGGTTTAAGGGTTTAAGCTGTGGCTGTTTTGGAGTTAGGGTTCAATTGGGGTTTAGGGGTTTAGGGTTTAGGGGTTTAGGGTCTTAGGGTTTTGGGGTTTAGGGGTTTGGGGGGTTTAGGGTTTAGGGGTTTAAGGTTTAGGGTTAAGCTGCAGGGAGCAGGGCTTTATTTTTGGTTTGTTTCAAGGACTGGAAGCCCCAAACTCTATAGTCTGAATCCCAAACGCTGAACCCTGGAGTTTCGAAAACACCTAATCTTGTGTAAGCCCCTGTGTGCCCGCATGACCACCTAAGGACCATCTGCAGCATCGGGCAAACGAGCTCCAGACAGAGTTGGTCGCTGAGGTGGGACTTGGCCTAAACTTGCCGGGGGTTTGCAGGGAATAAGGGAACATATCATATGGGATGTAGGGTTTAGGCTAGGGAATAAGGGAATATATTAACTGTACAGGGATCAAATTCTCTACTAACCACCATTAAATAAATTACCGTTCTGAAAGTGAGGAACATTATATACAGGGCCCGTGTTGTACTAGGAACCAGCCCTGAGCCCCAAACCACCAGTCAGTTGATGTTCCAGGACTACTTTAATGAAGTTGGGGAAATACACCCTAAACCCAACACCCCTAGATCCTAAGCCCTAAACCCTAAATCCTAAACGCCCTAAACCCAAACCCCTAAACCCCTAAATCCTAAACCCTACACCCCCTAAACCCTAAAATGCACAGGTGGAGATTGGGCACCTGCGGCTCGAAAGCAAGGTCGAGCTGGAGGACCGTAGGGTTTA